CCAAATAGCAGCAAGATGACTTGTTCAGCAGCAAATGCTACTATAAGCAACACCAGCAGAACAACAAACCAAACCATCGTTTCAGATATCCACAGCTAGGCAGTGCAAGCAGTTCAACTTTAGCTTGACAAGCAAGGAAACCTCTCCTACTTGGACATAAAATTACTTCTGAAGGTGCCACTTTACCCTATAAAAACCAATTTAGTGGAAAAAAGTTATATCGCCTTATTAAAACCACAAAAAAAAACATATATATATATATATAGAGGGAGTTATAATTACAGTAGTGTAACTTTTCTCAAGTATTATACCACTCAATTTTACATTCATTGTGAATTTTGTAAATTCAACCATTAGATTGAAAGTTCATTTCGTTTTATATGTGTATATCAAATTTTGTTAAAATTGAACAACTTAAAGGTAATCAAAGTGTTCATATTTTAGTATATTTTGAAATGAATATATTACGTCAATTTTTGTTTTATAAAAATGAAGTATCAAATCATATTAGATTAATATAAAATTTTGTATATATCATCTAAGAGTAAAGAACTTTCAATCTAACGGTTAGATTTACAAAATTAAACATTTAAACCTTCCCTTAATAGCTAGCTATCAAAGGGAAACAACATACCACTTAAATACTACTTGATGTGTGATTTAGCCACTCCATAATACACTAATCCCTATTAGAGCCACACCAATAACTATCAATGAATAATCTCAGAAGAAATATCTTCCTATGGGCTAATGGAGCAAACCAATCTTTAGCAGTTTAAAAATAATGGACCCAAGTTCCCTTGATTTTGATCCTCGAGTAACACATACCGAGCATTAAAGAGCAACAGTATACGAATATAAAATATGACAGAGTCAATTGGTATAGAAATATATTAAAAATAAATATCTATAAAAATTACAAAAATGCAAGCAAGCCAAATTTAGGTATGGTTAAACATATTGCACACACAACAGATATATTTCAGGGTGAAGAACAATTGAATTACTGATTGCAAATGAAACTTCAAAACTGATAAAGTTCACATATTTTATTTGCTGTTTATATAACATTTATTTTTTCTGTACTGAAAAAATTACTGAATTTGCCCTAGTTTACTTGTGATATGATCACAAATATTAGTTCCAAAGATTTGATCTTCAAAGCTCATAATGCATATGTAACCAAATTCCACTTCCCAAGACTGATAACCATATACATGAATTTAAAGATATGTTTCAATCACACTCTATCACAATAATCACTTTTGATATATATAGAAGTCGTTACCACAAGAACTCAGTACCCGAGTTACCCACTACCTATGCTGGACCATAAGTGATGTAAGGTGGAGAAAGAAATTGGAGGAAATTCAGTTATGAAAACCAGGGGAATCTGTCATGTAGGTAAATGCCACATAAGCTGGAGAAAGAGAATGAGGGAAGAGAAGACCCAAAATCCTTTTGTCTTAAAATTTTGTTTTGAACTTTTGGGTTTTTTCAGATTAGGAAGGGGATCTAAGACTTGGTATAGGAAGTGGGATAGGAGGCTAGAGTGGAGGCAAATCACTCCAAGGGACTTGGTGCCACTTGAGTTAAAACTCTTGGTCATGGAGAAAGAACTACAATAACTGATTTGCCTTGATCATGTGAAACTAAGAAAGAAATTAATCTCCACTCTTAGAATTATATTACATGCTTTTTGAAATATCAACAGGGTGTGAGACATCAATCTCCCATTTACAGGGGAGGCTTTCACCATTAGCCCGGCTCTCAGGAGTGAATTTCCCTCCATATCAAGCAATATTTAAGCCACCATGTTTTAACAGTACAAAAGATGATAATTAAAAAAAAAACAAAAAAGAAAAGGAAAATCAACAGTAAGGTGAGCAATTATCAAGTGAATTTTCTGCTTTTGCAACCATCCCTAAGAGATACAAATGGAAAGAAAGAGTATCGGAGTCCACAGACAACAAAGACATAAACTGTTGTCTAAAGTACCTAGATTCTAGCATAGTGTTGCAGAGAAAAGAGTGGAGGAAAACTTTTTCTTGGTGTAAAGGAGGCCTATGTGGATGGCTGGGTGCGTTGGTCGTGCCAGGATTTGATCCCAGGACCAAGCAATCCCCAAAAGAGCTTAGTCCTAAGAGAAAGCAAATTTATGGTTTAGCTAAAGCCACTATTGTTTTATGAAGTAATTGCAGTTTGAAGAGTGCAGGTCAGCCAGAGAGGCAACAAACACAAAACAGAGGGATACACCATACCAACAAGAGATCATCCCACAAATAAACAAGAAACATAATAGAAAGCACATATACACACCACAATCAACCAATGCATACACCAATATCCACTCTCATTCTCAGGCTTCATGTCTCTCCCAGAATTGCCAATAATCGCTAATCCAAAATTGAAGGTATCAATCAAGTAACACCCCTCTCCACCCGAAACAAGAGTGAGACAGTTGAGCAAACAGCATTGCCCCTTCACAAACACGCTTCAATCCACAGTCACACAATTAACACAAACCATAGCAGATCAAAGAAACAAGACAACACAGCAATAACCAAAACCACAGTAATTCCACTCTTAAAAAAGAACATTCCATATCCATATAAATAACACCAAATCAGATCCAAAATACTATATCCAGAACCCTAGAAAACGCGAAAGCAAATCCCTCAAAATTCCATAAAAAAGAAAAAAAAAAAAAACCTAAACGAAAGCGAGGAGACTCCTTCACCGAAGATACGCGGGGATCTTGATGCGGATGAAGAGCATGCTCATGACGTAAGCGAGAACAACAGAAGAGACGCCGGCGGAGGCGTAGGAGACCTTAACGGACTTGGCGCGGTTGCGATCGAGCGCGAGATCCAAGAGAATGATGCCGATGCCGCCGAGGACGAACATGAAGCCGGAGGAGAGGCCTTCGATGATGTACTGGCCGTTGACGCGGCCGGACATGAAAACGACGGGTCGTACGGAGCCGGTGTAGGGGTCCTGCGTGGAGCCGATGCCGGGGGGCTCCACGATGATGTCGTAGACGATGCCGGAGACCACCATGAAGTAGGTGAGGAGGAGGAGCGCGAACACCGCGTTGGGAGAGGGGAGCGTCAGGGAGGGCAGCTTCAGCCGGAGCCGAGGGGGGCGGAGGACGCTGAAGGGGACCACGCGGAGGAGGTGGAACGCGGGATCCAGCGACGCGCCGGAAGACCCGTCGCTGCCGCCGGAGGAGGAGGCCGCCGGGGCCGGAGGATCCGATTTGGCTCGCATTTTCCGGGTCGGGTTTTCGATGCCCAGAGGGAAGAGGAGTCAATTAATGTGAATGATGCGCGAGCGTGTTTGTGTGTGTGACTCTGTCAGTGTGAGTCACTTGGTTTTAGCTGTACGTGTGTGGTTGGTTCATCTCGACGTTGGAGTTCAAACATTACGTGGATTTGTTTATTCTTTTTTATTTTAATTATTTAATATTTAATATTCGTTAATTGAATTAAATCATTTAGCATTGCTGTATAAAAAGAGAAAATAGTATATTATCATTAAATTATGAATTATTTTATATAATGGGGTGTGGATAATTCGCATAAGGTCTTACATTAAAATCTTATTCTTATTGTTTTTGTTATGCACACAAAAATCATAAACATATCATAATTATTTATTTATGTCAATCAGTAAACGATTGCGGGGTCATATCAAGTCATTTTGTCTTTTTGGCTTTGGCTCATGGCTTTTGGGGCTTATGTATCATTGATCGGTGGTTGATTGGTCTTTGATCTTTGGAGCAACCTAGAATTGAACCCCCATTAAATTTAATTAATTACCTCACATCTATGTCGTGCCAATCACACTAGAGCACGTTTGTTTTAATCAAGCCATTTGAGTTCACTCTACACTCCAGTTAATGGCCAAGATACTGAACAGTGAAAACCTTAATCCTCCTCGAATGCACTCAAGATTTTGGAGAACACTAATCTATCCCTTTTCCTTGTACTACATGCAACATAGTATTAGGAGTGTGGGTGACAAATAGTTGGCGGTTACATTGTTTAGGGGATAATGTGTAAGGATCATTGAGAGGAATAGGGGAAAACACAAGGGGTAAGACATACTCTTGAATGCTCTGGTAATAGGTCCCATAGCCTGTTACTAGAACATTATGTACCACTCGATCGGTAGCCAACTACTCTTTAGTATTTGGAGTGGCCTAGAACTAAACCTCCATGAATTTTGATCGATCACCTAACATCTATGTTGTAATACTCCAAGTTTTCTAAAATTATTAAAAGGATATTTTGATTAATTAAAGGGACTTTATAAAATATTTCATAAGTTATTGATTTAAATATATACTTAGTGACATTGATCTCTTACTAACTATAGTTGATATATTAATGTATGATTAGATGACTTCATAATGATTCTATCTTGAGGTGTATCAGATGATGTTGTGTAATTATTGTGTTTGAATTGCAAACATGAGACTCTTGTACTAATTGATCCAAATAACTGAGTATTATGTATTAAGTATGTATTTATGTTAATATGAGACATGATTGATGTAAAGTTTGTGAGTTGGTGTTGTGTTGGCAAGACATGAATGATGCAAATGGAATGTAATTGACAAATTGTTGTGAATGGTAAATCGAATGTATGACAAATCGTTGTAACATGCATCATATGCATGTAAATTGACAAATTGTTATATATTCATTACATATATTTGTGATTGGTATTGCATGCATGAAAATCGAAGTATGTGTTTATTACATCAAATATTTGCATATATCTGCATTTATCTCTTGAGATTAATGATATGATGTTTCGTGAATGAGCTATTGTGATTTAATAATGTTAATTATGTATTTAATATTGATACTATTGTGATGAAGGATATGTTGAGTGTGTGTGGCTATCCATCTTTTGTTTTACGCCATGAGCTAGAGTGAGTTGTTTCTTACTTCTCTTGTTTCTATGTGTATTGTAGTTGCAGGTGAAACTCATCAGGATTAATGATGTTAATGACGAGGTTTAGACCTTGTTTTGGAAGTGCTCTACGATATGTGACATCACAGTTTAGACTATGATTGTTCTTGTTATTCTTATGATAGAACTTATGTTTAGATATGTATTTCTACTCTATTATGGAGCTTTGTTTTGAGAGGTTGTTATGCGAGACTCTTTACTTCATGTTGAAGACTATATTTTTATTATTGATGCATGGACTGGGTATTTTATACCCTTGTTTTGGAGTATCATTTATATAAGTATGTGGGTTAGAGGATGTCACATATGTCACGCCAATCATGTCAACACACATTTGTTTTGATTGTCCAATTGAGTTCACTCTACACTCCAGTTGGTGGCCATGATACTAAGTAGTGAGAACCCTAATCCTCCTCGAATGCACTTGTGACTTTTGGAAAATGCTAATGTATCCCTTTTTCTTGCACTACGTGCAGTATAGTATTATGAGGATAGGAGAAAAGTAGTCAACGATTACATTGTTTAGGGGATGGTGCATAAGGATCTTTAAGAGGAATAAGGGAAAACATAAGGGGCAAGAGTCACTCTTGAATGCTCCAGTAATAGGAACCATAGCCTCAATAAAATCATTCTAATGCCTCATTGTTTGATCCTTGTAGTTAGGGAGATATGACGTGTGGTTCTAGTAAGCCCTCTATGGGGAAAGCTTCGTGTTAGAACAACCAACTTTGTAGTAGTTACTAGCAACCATGAAAGAATTGTGGCAAGAAAATGGTTGTGCCAAAAGAAGGGTGGGTGAGGCAAAAAAAATAATACGAGAAACCCAAGAGTAAATACATAAAGGTAGAGGAAGGACAACAAAAGACTAAAAAAGAAAAATTGGTATTAGAATCAAATTCAAATTTACATAACCAAAAAAGCAAGTTTGGGTTGATCCGCCTCAAAACTTTCAACCATTTTTGGAGGACATCACAACAGAGGTCATCCATCCTAGCAAGCTTGCTCATTTTGAAGGTTGAACCTTTCTTTGGATCTTAGTGTGAAACTAATTATGCAAAATAGGCAAAAGTTCAATGGAGATGAAATCAATCCATGAAGAAACAGTGAAATTGGTAGTAGCGGGCCATGTCCAGGAGATACAATACCTAACGTAGGTGTCAAAAGTCATCATGGCAAAATTGTCCAATGGTAAATGGAGGATGTACACGGACTTCACAAATCTAAATCGAGCCTATCCCAAAGACTCGTATCCTCTACCATAAACATTGACTATTTAGTGGATGGTGCTTCAGTCTACTAATTGTTCAGTTTCATAGACGCATACTCAAGATACAATCAGATTCATATGCATTCGTTAGATAAGGAAATAAACTTTTTTTTATCACACATTTGACAAATTTTTGTTACTAAGTGATACCTGTTGGTCTCAAGAATGCAAGCGACATATATTAGAGGTTAATGAATCAAATTTTTCTGAACATTTCAAGAAAGACAGTTGAAGCTTATGTGGATGACATGGTAGTAAAGTTGATAAAAGTTCAATCCCACATGTCCAACTTACAAGAGTTGTTTGACATGATAGAGCGATACCACTAAAAATTGAACCCAAAGAAGAGTTCATGTGGAGTTTAAGGTTGGAAAGTTTCTCAATTTTATGTTGAGTAATTAGAGAATTGAAGCTAATCTAAATAAGTGCAGTGCGATCTTAACCATGTGTAGTCCAACATCGATGAAATAGGTACAACAATTAATTGGGAGAATCGCATCTCTTTCGTGCTTTTTGTCTAAATCAAAAGATAAGTATTTCCCATTCTTTAAACACCTGAGGAAAAATGAGAATTTCAAATGGGATAAGGAATGTGAAACAACCTTTGTCGCGTTGAAAGAATTTTTGTCAAAACTACTAATTTTTAAGAGGCTGACACATGATTACCCTTTAATTTTGTACATATCAGTGTTTGACATGGCAATTAGTTTAGTGTTGGTATAAGAAAACATATCAGAACAAAGTCCAGTTTACTTTCTTAGCAAAGTTCTTTAAGGTTTGGAAAAAGGCTATCAGAAAATAAAATAAAGAAAGTTTCCTTAGTAGTAGTGATCACTACTCGAAAGTTTAGACACTACTTTTAGTGCTACTCGATCATCATCCAAACCGATCAACTTGTTTGTCAAGTTCTCCACAAGCTCAATCTTGTAGGATGGATGGTGAAGTGGTCAATAGAATTGTCAAAATTTGGTTTGTCATATGAGGCTTAAGGTCCGATCAAGAGCTAGGTTATGTTAGATTTTGTGATAGAGTTAACATCGCTAACTAATGCTACAAGTCAAAACTAATGTTGGATTTTGTCAGTTGATGAAGCGTCAAATTTGCAAGGAAGTGGCACATGTGTCATCTTGGAAGGGCCAACTGGAGTCCTTGTTGAATAAACACTAAGGTCTAAATTTCATGCAAGCAATAATTAAGCCAAGTATGAAGTGTTTTTACCTGGGATGCTATTGGTAGAGGAGGTAGGAGTGACCTATTTAATGGTGCATAGTGATTCTCAACTTGTGATGGGACAAGTACTCGGAACATTTCAAGCCAAGGATTCATATCTCGCCAAGATCAAGTTGATGTTGGTGAATGATGGAGTAATGGAAGACTTGTTATTTCTTATTTCCATCTTTAAGATAGTTTAGACTAACATGAAGGACATTTTGAAAAAGGCTAAAATATCAAATATACATCAATTACAAAGACGTCATGTAAGCCAACAAAATTAAGGCCACTATAGTGACAATCCTCAAAAGAAAAATGGAAAATAAAATGTGATAAACCCTATCAATTTGGCAATGAAGTGTGAAAGAGAATCTAAAAAGACAAATTCCTTACTGGTCTAACATACATTTTGTTATTTCTATATTTGTTTCAGTTTTTTAGTCTTAAACAAAAGGTTCGAAGAGAATTAATCTCATTCTTATTCTTCCTCCTTTGAGATTTTCATAAGTCATTCTAACCTGCCCCGACGCAAATGGACTTTTGACAAGTTCTACTTTAGGCATCTTAGGTAAATTTCTCTAAAAGCACTTCTATTAGAGAAAATAAGAAGAAAAAATGAAATAAGTTTCTCTATAAGTTACAATTAGCTTGTAGAAGAATTTCTTTCATATTGACAATCTTATTTTTAACTTATATATAAACTAGTTTTGCCTTATGAAAAAGCTAATTTGAATTGTTCTTTCTACTTTTTCTCTCATAAAAGTTCTTATAGGAAAGTTTATCCAAACATACCTTTAGATGTGATTCATCTTGTGGGTAAATTTTATTAATTTATTTTTATTGTAATTATTTATTAACTAAATTATACAATAACTCTTATATAGGGCATTATATTTAAGATGAAAA